TCTGGTCGATCTCCAGAGACAGACTGGAGCAGGCCAAGCCCAGGAAGGCAGACAGAGCTGCAGAGAAACCTGGTCAGGTGTTCACAGTCCCAGAGCAGCCAGGCTGGGAAGGGGCTTCGGCAAGTCTCCACTCTGACCTCCTGCTGCAAGTGGGGCCGACCAGAGCAGGCTTCTCAGGGCTGGGCACTCTTGAAGTGCAGCTGACTCCATGGATTCCTCCATGACCCTGGGTCCCTGGACAAGTGCTTGACCACCCTTAGGCTACAGTGTTTTTTCCTGTCTCAGATAGGAATTTCCCCCTGCAGCAACCTGTGCTGTTGCCCCTCGTCCTGTCCCTGGGCACCCCTGGGAAGGCTTTGCCTCCATCCTCTCACCATCCTCCCATTAGGCACATGCAGGCAGCAGTCCGATCCTCCTGCGCCTTCTCTTCTCCTGACTGAACAGCCCCAGTGCCGTTGGCCTCTCCTCACACCTGCTGGGCTTCAGCTCCCCACCTGCTCCCAGCCTGCCCCACAGTGGGTCCTGCACAGACCACAGTCCCTTCACGGTATCCCTGCCCTGGTGCAGGTCCCCCACGGGCCACAGGCCCTGCACAGGTGTACCTCCTCTGGTGTGGAGCATCTCCTTCCAAAAGTACATCTCTAGCCCTGTCCACAACAACATCCCCTTGCACAGGTTGCCCCCGCTTCCTTCTGCTTTTCTCCTGAAACACACCTCTGCACCCCTCTCCTTTCAGGTCCCCTTCTGTGTGTCCTCCCAAAGCACATGTGTGCTTTGGAGGGTCTCCTGCCTTTTGCACTACAGCAGAGCCCGGGGAACATGGCCAGTGCTTTCCTAGGCACATGCCGCAGAGCTGAGGGGGCGCCAGTGGCGTCGTGTTTCAGGGCACCCAAGAAGCTGGAAGCAAGGAGACATGACAGATCCTGGTGACAGACCTGCCAGATCTCCTCATACCCATCACAGTCCTTTGAGCATGCTGCACCAGAGATCAGGGAGGTGCTTTCTTGTTTAACAAAAATCAAACCTCCTAGCGGTGAAAAATGCATATTCAATAAGCTTTTGTTCAGAGTTTCCTTCCTGGACATAGCCAGGGATGCCATGTGTGTAAAGGCCATGGATCCAGGAGTGCTTCTGCTCTACACAGACTGCACATCTAGGAGAAAATCAGGTAATGGGATACTGGTCTCACAATTGAGCTGGACTGTCAAGAAACAGAAAGCAGACCACAACCGTCACTCGGAAATCTGCACACAGAGTCCTTCTCGCCCAGCCCCAGGGTCTGAGCGTGCTGCCATTGGCCCTGCCTGACCTCAGGGTGGTTCTCTGCATCAGAGCTACTGGGACCGCTCAGCACTCAGGGCTCCTTCGGCCCTTTGGGGATGGCTTCAGAAGGGATCTTGCACACCAGTACCCAAAAACTCCGGCAAAAGAAGAATCAGCATCACACTACGGCATCAAATGGATTTATGGATTTTTGCACCTTTTGCACAGTTAGAACAAGCCAAAAACTGGCATAGCCAAGATAGGTGCAGCCAGGGGACTATTTGGGAGAAGACCAGATGTCAGGAGATCCCAGCACAGCTGCCCGAGACTGACAGGGGAGATGGCAACTGGGGATAGGTCCAGCCTTGGAGGTGGTTAATCAAATGCAGCTGGCCTGGGCAACTCCAGAGCTCATCCTAAAGTGGACTCTGTGGTTGCACTCACTGCATCTGACCCCACACTTCACAGGCCACCAGCGACACATGCCTTTGGGGAAAGCGAGGAGCATCCCAGGGTGGGGAAGGAGCCTTGTGCCAAAGAAGGCAGCCTGGCAGAGGCGGGCACCGGGCGAAGGCTTGGGCAGTGACTGTTCCTGGAGGGGCAGCCCAAGCTGCTCACCAGCTATGCCCAGGAACAGCACCTCTCCCTGCCCCAGCCACAATGCATGGGGAGCAGCCAGGCAGCCCCAGCCACCAGCAGCACCACCCTACGCTGTGTGATCTCCCCTCTCCAGTTCATCCCAGCTGCCCCCATGCCACAGTGAAGGTCCCAATCCTGGAGTGAGGCAGAGACCCCTCCCACACAGCCCCCTTGGACCCGGCCCCCCCTCCCTGCCAGATGAGGCTCATCTAGGCTGGAGAGACCCCCCCCCTCCCCCCCCGGATGAGAGAGGGGCCCCAACAGACATCCCAGGGCCAGAGGAAGGGGAATATAATGCTGAAAGGAGAAAGCAAGAAGGGGCTGGAGGGAGAACCAAACCCAAGCAGGAGGAGAGAGGCGGGCAGCAACAGGGAAACCCCAGGGCTTGAAAAGGAGAGGGACAGAGGGCAGACCCCCAAGGCAGGGAGACAAGCAAGCTGCCTGCCTGCTCACCCACCCACCCTCCAAACCTGCCAGCAGAGACTCCCAAACTACCTGTCTACACCTCAGCTCAGCTCCAAGGGGGTTAAATTCCCTCTAGGTGGGGACCTGGCCCTAAATGCAGGCAGGTGAGCAGGAGTGGGGAGAGCCCATGTGTCCAGCTTTCTTCTCCTCCACCCCCCCCCCAGGGCATCCATGAGTGTGGACCCCCATGGTAACTCTTCCCCTCCATGCCCTAGTTCTGCCCCCCGCCCCTTGCAGCACTGGGACCAATTTGGAGCTCCCTAGTTCAAGATAGATACTCATGCACAGGAGCAGGGACGAACGCTTGGACACCGGGGGTGGGGGTGGGGGGGCTCACACTGGGAAAGGGCTCCAAGAGACCCTGGCCTGGGATGTTCGGACCTTGATGGGATGCTAGGGGGAGGTGGGCATTGCATGGGCCAGGAGCAGGAGGAGGAGACTGGCTCTCCCTGGGACCCCACTCACAGATCCCACATCCCTGGACTTGCACAGACGCGAATCTTTCCTTTCCCAGTGGGCACCCCCCCTGGAGTCAGCCTCACTGGGCCACAATAGTGGCTTTTGGGTGTCTATCTGTACTGAAAACAGGGAGCACACTGCCTGTAGGCTGCCCCAAAGCCAACAGCACCCCACAGTTCCCCTCTGTGCGCACCCTCAGGTGCCCACAGCCCCTCCCTGTGCACTCTATGCCGCTTGGTCCCCTGCTCAATCCCCCATGTGCACACTCCAGCCCTCAGTTCCCAGGTGTGCATCCCAGAACCATCTCCCAGCTGTGTTTTCCCCCAGCCCAGATGTACACCCCTAGCTGGGTGCAGGGGATTGGTGGCTGAGGGGCTTGTTTGCTCCCTTCCCCTTGCTGCAAGCAGCACACTAGGTCCCCACAGGCAGGACTAGGAAAGGCTTGGACCTGCTCCTCCCTTGAACAGCCAGCTTGCAAGGAGAGCCCAGCAGGTTCTCATCATCTTTATTAGTTTTTTCTTTTTTTCTTTTTTTTTTCCAACACAGTAAATCCTCTCTACAGTGACAAGTTAGTTAAATCCAGTTTACATTTTGCCGTCTTGTGTGAGTACCGCGGCCTTGATGCCGCCGTGATGAAAACAGGTTGCGCTCAGACTGGAGGAAGGGCCTGGGCTGGGGGAGGGGAATGCATTAAATTCCACTGTGACCAGAAAATAAAGAAAAACAACAAAAATTAAAAGAACGAACCACCAGGGAAAACCAAACTGACCAACAAAATCCAGGTGGAGAACCGAAGGCAAGCACGGCCAGACCACCTCAAAGGGGAACCACGTGTTACCGCTTGTACAAGAGCGCAAGGGGGACTGAACTCAAAAAGGGCAGGGACCAGACAATTCTATATATTATGTATAGATATTTATATATATCATCTGGAAGGACACGCTGAGAAAACGAGAGATTGCAGTGGCTGTCTACAGTGAAAAGGAGCTACTTAGCTTTCAGAGTCACACTGAGAAGGAAGCACACGGCAGAACGAAGGCGGGGCAATGGGGACACTGGTGTTTTGGGGTGGCCGTTCAATGTCTGTGTGTGTGGCTGGGGTGGGGGGAGTGGGCCTTGGGGCCAGGGCCCCTCCTACACCCCACTAGGAGCCCAGGGGTCCCTGCACCCCCTCTCTGGGGGGACTGGGTAGAGAGGCTGGGGTGTGCTGGGCACATGCTTTGGGGTCCCCACTCCCAGCACACTGAGTGGCCAGATGCCTGCTGTCCCCATGGCCAGAGGTTTTGCACCCACTTGGTTTTTGGGCTAGTTCTGCTTGGCCCCGATGGTGGCACCATGCAGGTCCCTGGTGGGTCCCCACCGCCACCCTGCCTGGGAGCCACCTGCAAGGACATAGCTCTTCCCAAGCATCTGCTGCTGGAGCAGGGGGCTCCTTGGCGCCCGGGTGCAGGAGGAGCTGAGCTCGGGCACCCGCAGGGGCAGGCTGGGGCTGGCGGGAAGAGGCCGGGGGGCACAAG